CTACAGGCTCCTGACTTGGGACAGGCACATACTGAATGTGGCGGGGTTAAACATGTTTGAAGGCGGCAACCCTTCCCCTAAACTGGGACAGTGGTGTAACAGTACAACATAAGATCAAACTATAAAAATCTGTTGAAAATGGCTTAACCCGTCAGATCGATACAAAACAGAAACACATCTAACAAAAACACATACCGGACGTGACAGGGAATTTGTACATGTCTCACCAAAAAAAAAGGCACAAAGTACAGATAAGCGGGTACCCATAGTAACTGATACCTAGTTCAAAGCCAATAATAGCTCATAAAAAATCATGTATTAAAGACATAGTCCTCTTCACAAACAAAAGTGAAGCGGAATAAGTCATGCAAATCCAATCTTTTGCTATTCCAATAACAAATATAAATTATCATATCATCCCTTTAAAGAATGACTTGATCGTTTTCATGGATTTTTGCGATATTATAACGAATAAGCTGCAACAGATCTTTCACGATCCGAAATATCAATTTTTTTACAAATATACCCATTTTTGCAAAGTTTTTGATTAAACTAAAACAAAACAACTTTAAGAACCATTTTAAACAGTAATATGGAACGATATTTTTTAAGAGAAAAGTAGTTTATGCATTCAAAATATGAAAAAAATCATGTTTGTTTACATTTTTATTTCTTTGAAATTTCGATGAGCAATTTGCCTTTTGTAGTTTTGTAAAAACGGTTTACTTTTGAAACTTGATTTTTCTCGGATACTGATCATAATGCTGAACCATTTTGACAGACAGTTTTATTTTTTCAAAATTTGTCATCATAATTCATTAAATTAGATTATTTCTTCACGATCCTATACCAGTTCTTTCACGACCCAATCGCAATACTTGACCACCGTTACTTATTCTCTCACGATCATTTTTCTCGATATACCAAATGACAGCCGTGTAAATGTAAACTTATTTGATAATTTGAATTGTGAGCTTAGTCACAGCCGTTCCCAGAAGAAATTTAGATTACGACAACATATTCTGAAAAGACATTTAAGAATTTCTAAATATTAGTGGGACGATGCTATCAAAAATATTTGTATTACAAATTCCTTGTTATAAATGAGAGGCGAAATATACCAAAAGGACAAACAAACTAACAACGACATGGGAAAAAACGAGAAAGGCCAAAAGATAAACAACAGTTTACAAAATGCAACATAGAAAACTTGAGACCGAGCAACAGGAACCCCACCAAAATACCGGGGTGATCTCAGGTTCTCCGCTATCAAATTGAAAAAGCCTGAGGAAGTTAAAGAATGAAATCATATGGCCGACATGACGAATGAAAATCCTTAAAATATTGTATTCGAGTGTATTTAAGGTTTTGTAAATCAATGAAAAAACGAAGAAACATAGAGTTGATTTAATGATCATATATGTAATTACTTACATTTATCAAAAGTTGATCCTCTGGGTACGCAAGCTTTATTTAAGATATCTGCAACGGTATTTTCTGGACATGAATACTTAAATTGCATGCCGTTGTAACATAAATAAAACTGATTGCAATCCGAGGGATCTGGCATCCATGCAAATGGTGAACGACAATCAGAACGCACTCGATAAATGCTCACTAACAGAAATGGAAGTACTACTGGAATTTTCATTTCTGATTATTTCTTCACTTTTTAATTCTAGTATCTTGTACTGAACGACTGATATGTCAGAAATATTCGACTATTCGAATAAAAAATACAAGTGCCTATGAACAATTCCACGAGCAGGAACTTCAAATATTTGACTATTTCTGTTGATTATAAATAATACTTAGATAATAGGGATGGTTAATTATATTCAGTGTTTATGTTTACTTTTCATTAAACTAAACAGTGGTGGTATGGCGATGGACCCACCCCTCACGAAATTAGGGCGTGCATTATCATATGTGTCACAACAAGTAGATTACATAGATCCAGATCAAATAAGTTCAAATTAAACAGTTTATTGGATTTGGAAATTTCCAATCAAATGATTTTTTTTATTTGTTTTTCTGAATAATGAAAGGAGTCATGATAAAAACCGTTAATTGTACTTGGCCTCTGAAATAGAGAAAAAAGTTCAAATTTATTGAGTATAGTACAGGGTTGATGTAATGTAGACAATTTTGTGCAGAAAGGACACTTATGATCTCACTATGCTGTCATAAAAAAGTCTAAATTGTCATATTTGGTCTAAAATGGCCATTAGACACCAGGCATGGGGCGAATTACATTGCAATGTAATGCATTACATTACAATTACTTGGACAAAACCAGCATTGTATTGTAATTATTATTACATGTATTTTGGAAAGTTATAATGCATTACATTAGTCTGTATCAATTTGTATCAATTTAGATGAGAGAGGTTTCCGGCTTAATTGGAATTTGAAATTTTGGGTTAAGATTTTCTATAAAGTTCATAAAGTTTTGACTTTCAACTATTGAAAATGGGAGTAAATCACCTCTAGCAATATACTCGAAAAGTGAATCTATAGCTTTGTTTTGCTTTGGGTCATTTAATTGATATTTCTGAATACCAGATGGTTTTTCAAAATTTGACAAGGTTGATTGTTCTTCTGGGTCAGGCTTTTTATATTTCGAAGTATACATCTCTGTGTTTTCTCAAAAAAAAAAAATAACAGAACTGTTGTAAGGAATTTATTCTACCATTATGTTTTTTTTATTATATTGTTAACTTAATCTCAATGTTATTTAATTACTTTAAAATTATAAATTCACATGTCAAAAGAAAGGAAGTGATTGCTATACAAACTAATTAGTTGTTTTTGACAGGTGTTTAATAGACACCGAGTTTTTGGACAAAATAAAAGATATTAGTCAAGACCTAACCCTTTTGTAAAATATAAAGCCTAGGCCTATATCTAAATATTAATGGTAGGATCTCCAAATGAGTAAATTTTGGCAGTTTTTGCGGTTTTGCTCTAAATGCATGAAGTTTGAATACAAATATATAAGACAAAATTCATAAATTGAAATACTGCTGATTTCTGATACTTATGTTTTATAAACATCTGAATGTTATTTGATAAATTCTTCAAATTCAAGGGGCTAAAAATGGGACACAGGTACAGAATTCGACAATCGATTGAATAGACACTTTATGGAAAACGTTATCTATTCTATTATAGTCTATCCTAGTCAATCGAGTAACGTTGAAGGACCAATCGATTGTTGTGTGATATTTGCTTCCATTTGTGTTAAGAAAAACCTCTATATATCTATTCAATCAATTCTTAACAAATAGTGTTTATTAGAGTACGATCGTGTCAATCGTATTCGATCGATACGATCATGCCACAGGTGACTCAATCGATTCTATTACTTCAATTTACTAGGGGCACCATCGTATCAATCGTATTCAATCAATACGATCAAGCAACAGTTGATCAACTTAATCGATTATATTACTTCAATTTACTAGGGGCACACTCATATCAATCGTATTCAATCAATACGATCGTTGCACGGTTTATCAACTCAATCGATTCTATTACTTCAATTTACTAGGGGCACGATCGTATTAACCATATTCAATCGATACGATCGAGCCATAGTTGATCAACTCAATCGATTCTATTACTTCAATTTACTAGGGGCACAATCGTATAAATCGTATTCAATCGATACGATGATGCCACAGTTGATTTACTCAATCGATTCTATTACCTTCTTGTTTGATATGAAATAGTTGAGTCGTTTTTGTTCTGTTTCTGTACGGATTTAAAGGGTTGGATAAATTGAATAGCCTTCATATTATATCAAAGAGTTATTTGGATCGACAGCTGATGTTCATTTTTTTCGATTGTGTCGATTGTTATGATCGTGCTTTCCATATTAGTGAAGAGTTAGTGAATCGACAGCTAATGTTCAATCGTGATCGCTCGTGCCGTCCATATCAGTGAAGAGTTGATTGAATCGACAGCCGATGTTCAATCGTGTTCGATCTTATCGATCGTAACTATCGTGCCTTCCATATTAGTGAAGAGATGATTGAATCGACAGCTGATGTTCAATCGTGATCGATCGTATCAAGCTTAACGAACGTGCCTTCCACATTATTTATGAATAGTTGATTGAATCGACAGCCGTTGTTCAATCGTGATCGGTCTTATCGATTGTTATGATCTTGCCTTTCATATTAATTTGAAGAGTTGATTGAATCGACAGCTGATGCTCAATTGTTATCAATTGTGTCTCCATTTTGATTAGATGAGTTGATTAAATAGACAGCTGATATGCAATCGGAACGATCGAATATCCTTTATTATTTTGATGGGTTGATTGATTCAACAGCAGATGTTCAATCGTTATCGTTCTTTTAAATTTTGATGAATTGATGAGTTGATTGAAAAGACAACAGGAGTTCAACTGTTGTCGAATTTATCGATTGTCGAATACTGCACCTTAATTCTATTACTTCAATATACTAGGGGCACCATCGTATCAATCGTATTCAATCAATACGATCAAGCAACAGTTGGTCAACTTAATCGATTATATTACTTCAATTTACTAGGGGCACACTCATATCAGTCGTATTCAATCAATACGATCGTGCCACGATTTGTTTGATTCTTTTGATTCTTTCTCGTTCCACGAAAGTACTTTTTATATAAAATAAACATATACAGTCTGTATAACCACGTTATAGATAAAGTATAAGAATTGCACCAGCACATTAATCAATTGTTTTAGAGGTTTAAAAATACGTTTTTTTCTTTTGTACTTTTAAATTCTATGATTTACCATACCTTTCAGTTTTTAGTGGGTGTATCATCACCGATAGGCACAATTTTTAAACTATGGTAGCATTTCGAATTCAACCTAACGGTTTTTCTTAATGGTTTTTTTCCTTCGGTAAATAGCTTTCAATACACAGGCGAAAGGCACCGAAAAATGAATGTGACAACGTTAGACATATTTGTATAATCTAAAAAAAAACATCATTGTCTGAACAAAATTCTCAAGTACAGGTAGAAGGTGAAAAAAATGCTGACAATGGATTTCAAAAAGCGTTAAAACTGTTTCAAATTAAGATATTACTTTACACGACCTAAAAGTTTGTTCCTATAAGCCATGGTTGTCTTTGTATTTGAAGCTTTCTTCTTGATGATTTTGATTTCAAAATGTTTGGGTTTGATGGCGAACTAGAAACATCAGTCATCCTATCACGACCACTGGTTGAAAGAAAACTGAGTCTTTGAATCAAGTCAGAATATCTATGACTTTTTCTACTGTTGATCTGTTTAATTGCATTTGGGACTTCATGTCTAGATAACGCTTTTTGAAAATATATCTCACTCATTGCCTTTTGTGTATCCTTTAAATGTTTACCAGGATTGAGCTGAATAGGTAATCTCATGTTGTTTTGTCCGTATAAATATTTTGTCATGTCCATAGATAATTCTGGCCTTGTTGATTTTTCACTTATATAATTATGCTGATTTTGATTTGTACCTCTCATTAAAAGTTGATTCTGCCTTAGCATTTCATTTTGTCTTCCATTATGAGCTTCTCCGATATATGGAGCGTTATCAATCGCAATGTTTTGTAATCGTGACACCATATTTTCAAAGTCTGAAACATGTTTTTTTGACAAGTACTTCTGGCTTGGGACATCTGGGGATGTTTGGAAAACACGTCCTGGTCTTCGGATTTCATCCGCGAAGATCGAGTTCCCCTTTAGTGCCCAACCATTTTTATCTGGCTGCATGTTGGGACCATTTGACGGTAGATCACTTGGTTTGACAATTGATTGATTTTTGGACAACATGTCCTGTTCATTTGTATTTTGTCTATTTGTTGAGAAATTTCCATTTTTGATTTGATCATTTATACTTATAGACGTCTTATTGTGGAGATTAATAGCTTTATAAACCACTGAAATGTTACTCACATTGACTGCGTCTTTGCTATATGTAGATATATTTTTCTTCCCGACTACAGGGTGACGGTTTGATGTTATATTACTATGTTGAATGATATCTTGTCTAACTGATGAGATGCTATTCTGGTTAGTTGCATGTTTAGTATTTGATTCTATAGTACCTTGCTCAAATGCAGCTTGATTTAATGATAACCTGTTTCTTTGAGTATTCGAAGGTTGACTATTTGAAGACACGTGAATTGGTTTGCCCATCGTATTGTTATTCAAGTCTAATCTTTTTGTGATAGTTAAGACCTTTAACTTTGGAATTATCTGGTTATGGGTTTTTGTCTCGCCAGATAACAACATTAATAATTGTTTTGATGCAGACGTAAAATTGATCTCTGCGGCTTTGTTAATGTTTTTTGGTTGCTTTAGGGGAGGATTTACACCTTTGATTGTATCCTTAAATGTGAAATTTTCTGAATTTATTTCTTCTGATTTATTATTGTCAATATTATGATTTACTAACATAAGTCTAGATAATACAGCAGGATGCACATGATTTAGAGAGCTCGTTTCAACTTCTTTCTTTGCAGATGCCGCAGATGTTTCTTCCTTCTGTGTATCATAACTGGCTGTAACTTCATTCTGTTTTGAAACCCTAGATTCAATTTGCTTTATGAGCGTATTTAATAATGGCGATGAATGCAGAGTCTTCGATTTTGCCGTTATATTTCTCTGGTCATTGGTTAGATAACCATTCTCATTTGATGTATTAATCGGATTTTTTTTAGTATGATCTGTTTTGTTGAGAACCCCATTTGCTGATGTGCCAGTATTCTTGTTTACATTAGATGTATATTGTACAAGCACTAAGCTGTTATCATGAGCCGGTGTATTTTTTGTGAGATTCATATACGAGTTAACGCTACTATTTTGATTTTTCAATATACTTTTAGGAGGTAAGACATTACCAACTTGCGTTGAATTATATCCTTTAGTAAAATTAACTAGTATATCATTTCTATTCATAGTTTCACGTTTAAGCTTTATTTGTATCATTGACGAAAATGGGATGTTCGGAATTGATGTCTTTTCTAAGTTATAAATTTTTATTCCAGGCAGTCTAGAATACACATTTCCTTCAACTGGTGTAGGTTCTTGTTGCTCTTTTGGGCTATACAAAACCGAAGGTGGGATTCTTGCATTTTGATGGTGTTGAGTCTGTGGAATAGGATCTAATTGATCTGTAAATCTTAACACCAGATCAGTTACATTCTGTTGAAGTTTTGTTGCTGGTGGGTATGTTAAGGAATGTTTTTGTAGTTTGTTGATACTATCATGCAGGGATTTATCTTGTTGTGACAATAAAACTGAGGTTGAAAGCTTTTCGTGATGAGTTTGTATGTTTCCTGTGTCCATTTGGTGTTTTTGCATGTGCATTAAATTTTGTCCAATTTGATGTTGCTGTTCTTCATATGTCAGATGTAGTGAAGAACGTTGTTCTACCGCCTGAGGTAGTTGTAAGGAGGAAGAAACATTCAACAAGGTGACATTATCAAAATTGTCCAATGATGAAGCTTCTGTGATATTTATCTTCTGTGTTATATTTACGCCACTTTTAGATTGCACACTTTGTTTTGATTTCCTAGCCGTCCATGCTGTTTGTCTATCAACACACGTTTTTAACTTCGGACTGAATACCATATATTGACCAGGAGTCGTTGACTGGCAGCGCCCATGAAAAGTTACTCTTTGACTCTGGCATACGATGAAATATGATGTCAACTCCCTACCTCTCCACTGATGAAGTCCATCTGGTAATCCACGACATGTTGCAAACCGAATATGGCAAGGTACGCAGTGTGATGATCTACATTGGTTTTTTAAGTAATCACCTGAAATATTAACCAGTCGTGTTGTTATTGTTAAAATCCTTGACATAAAATACATTTCAATGATTCATTAATAGATGTAATAACTATAGATATATATGAATATACAATAATGCATTAAGTATGGAGCCAAATAATTATGGTTATTACTTATTCAAATGGGTATATAAAGGTTTGCCGTGTCAATGATACCTCAAATCTATAAGTCATGAGAACTATGAGAAATTGCATTAGAAGCTATTTTTGATTTTATGTTATCATACCATTGCCATATTCAACATATAAAAATCTTTTAAAATTAATAGTGTCTAAAGTGATTTATTTGGAGTTCAATATTGTGTCTGTTTGACTTGCAGATAGTATCCCGTATGGACTGCCGTAAACTATAAGGGAGATAACTACAACAGAATAGTTTTAAATTCAAGTGTGACGTCATTTATACACTTGTTTTTCAAATGCTTTTGCATTATTTTTATATTATGTTATCTCAGGTAATAACAAGAACTTTTTAACGAAACAATCTCATATCAAAAACAAATAATTTGATATGTAAAATGTGTATGTAATTATATTCAACCATATGTCTTCAAAATAAACATCTTGTTTATACATTTACATGATCTTACATAGTTTGTCTAATATTCCAGAAATTGGGTAGACAACGGGAGGAAAACGAAGTCCGTAAGAAAAACACACTCACGTTACAATATGATGAATATTACTCGTCGACTTTAAAACGGGAATATTTTTTCCATGAATTCGAACAGTATGAACTGGCAAAAAAAGTTTAATTAATCTGACTTGTATGCAGATAATGATCCCCAGTGAAAATGTCTAAGTTGTTTCTTGATAGGTAATTAAAAATGAATTATAGAGTTACATGACAAAATGATTGGCATTAGTGAAGACATTAACCTCATCTTTCCAAACCAAATGCCAGTCTCTGTGGTCATCTACTAGCTTGTTGCCTTGTGTTTTTGAGAAGGAAAATTCGATCCAGTGCCCAGTCAAACCAACGAGTAAAGATTCGTATTTGATGCTTCTCTGCTAAGTATGAAATATTTACTAGAAGTAGCAAAAGCTTAGTCTTATAAGGTAGCTCAAAGCCAGAACAATAATCCTGGTTAGTCTGACTTCTTTCTGCAGACTACTACATTTTGAGTTAGCACATTAAATTCTGCCTCTGCGAATGGGTCATGTAGAAAACAGAGTATATGCATATTCGATTAATAATAGATAAACATTTCCCTCTGAACACATTACCAAAGTACCAATTAATCTTCATTAACTACAAATGCAATATGAATAAAAGTAGATGTTGGGTGTACATCAACGAGACGGCATCTAAGCGACAAAAGTAAAAAAAAGCATAAAGGGCAATATACAGTCTTCAAAAATAGACAGGTATCTTTACAATATGCCACGCTCTTAATCGTTCAAAGTCTATGGAAGTTGTTTATAAATTAAAAAGGAGCAGTCAAATATCTGCAATAAACACCAAATTCCCCAAATAACAGAAGATGACATAATAACATAATGACATAAGACAACAAATTTAGTGGTTATTGACTTGCGACAGGCAAATGAATTTATTATGCTTCACGTTAAAATGCCAGATTTTGATTGGCTAATACGAAGGAGATAATTTACTCTATCCCATGGCTCAGCGGGAGACAATTTTTTGAATGTCACCCTCTGTGCAGACCAATCAAAATCGATAATTTAAAGGACAATGAATTGAATTCACGTCAATAATTTTAAAGACAATGATCAATTTACGTTTTCGGCTCAGAAATTTTTCATAGACTGTCAAAATAAAAGATACATCTTGCTTTACTATAGTTGTTTTTCAAATAACTGTAACGTTTTTATGTACATGACGTCATAGTTAATTACTTTCAATTTAGAATTTAAACAACAATAATGGCAGAACAATCAGTATAATAGATTAAATAACACATAACTGAGAGGGTGATAGAGCAGATTGTTACCCCTCGAATAAACATTGTCAACCTTGGCTTCGCCTCGGTTGACAATGTTTTTCTCGGGGTAATAATCTGCTCTATCAACCTCTCAGCTATGTGTTATTTATATAATGTAGCATGGATTTCAACCCTTTCTCCCTTAATCTATCAATGGACCAATAAAACAAACATAAAAGAACATAGTATGAAAGTACTTTTTTTTAAGTAACGGTATGATATGTTTTATAAACATGACAAAAAGAGAATAGTAAACAATATTAGATATCATATTAAATTGTAGAATGGTCGCATTTACAGTGAAAGCAAACTCTGCGTTCTTAACCTGCTGTTAAGAAAAAAATACCTGTTATTCTGAGTTTTGTCTCCATTTTACTTTGCCAACAATTTAGTTCAGTATCTATATGCCAACATATAATCAGAACTGCTGCTAAACTTGTTAAGAGTGGAATCTTATTTTAAAATGAGGCAATACAGTTTGTTGGTCAACGTTAAGTTTTCTGAATATGTCTGTTTCAAAGTTACAATAAATAATAAGTCAACTGTATTCGGTGTATAGAATGATTGTACATGTACGTCTGACAGGTTATTCTGACCTTTACCTCATTTTCATGGGATCCATGAAAAGGTCTGTTTTTCAGTTTCTATAGGTAACAGGTCAATTATATTAGGCGTATAGAATGATGGTATAGGATTTTAATGTCCGTCTGACAGGGAAACGATATCGACCTCATATTAATGGTTCTTTAGTCAACATAAAATAAAATTCAATAACAATTAGGAATTCAGCTTGTGCACTAAGGACAGCCCGTTCTAGGCATTTTATATAGGGTTTTTTTTTTGCGTGAACCCCTTCACGCGTATTTATTGGCGAGTTTTGGATGTGTCTATGGGCCACTCGATATCTCTCGGCCGGAAGTCGGAATAAAATTCTCGGAACGTCTCGAAAGTTTTCGATGATGATTTATACAGGTAGTTATCTACGTCTTTGATACGGTCCCTCTATGGCTAGGCTACCACATGACATTACACCATCAAAGTAAATTGGAAAGTAAACAATAAGGCTAGGTTGCATCGTTTAAATATAAGAACCTTTTTGCCTTTTCACAAAACATACGTGTTTTTAATAATGTGAATGTTTATAAGCGCTTTGATGTGAAAGTTTCTAAACAAGTATTATGACAACGCAATTATATTTGTTTTAAAACGACCCCTGTACACTGTGTGTATCTAGGTCAATTATAACGTGGTATTGTGCATTGTCATGATAACATGTAAACTAATTATGTCTGAAGATTTAACCACGTGAGTATTTTCATCATAGACTAAGGAGAGAACATTCTGGTTTAAATGTGTATATTAGATCGGAAAACAGAAAGATAATATTATTATCAAAAGTATTCAATTTAATTAATTCAATAGAAATCAAAGAAATATATACAAAATATATACTGTATTTATGTTTCTGTAGAAACTAAATATTAAATTGAAGTCAGAATATTTTCAGAGTTGCAATTAAGAAATAAGTATTTATATAACAAGATACTCTGATTTGGTATTTTTAAATATTCACTTGTAAATGAAACATGCATAATAATTAAATCTGAATAAATCCTTGCATCATACAAAAAAAATGTTGATAAACAATAATAATTATATTTCTACGTTAATTATTTCCTACCGTTTTAGTAAGGTTTAATAAGTCATTGTTATTTATTTTTTTGTATTGTAATATATCCATAAAACGGAAAGTAAGATAAATTAATTAAATACTTAAATTTTAAACGGCCGTGAATAAAAATACTTGTGTGTTTTCAATTCACAAATATTTTGAATCCTTGCAGCTCACAAAAAAACGTAATAATAATTTACAATAATCTAATTTTGGATGTAACGCGTCTTCTGATTGGCTGACGTTGTTTTGTTTATCAGCTCATAGACATAATTTTGTCATGTGACCGTGACGTCATCAACGTTTTTTCATGGTTTACTCCGGTTTAAAATGGAATTTAGAATTAAATTATAAGAAATGACTGTAATATTTTTTCTGTCTATTCGAAATAACATAAAAAATGTGGTGCACACTTTAAAATAACCCACTACGCGGGTTTATTAGTGTGCACCACATTTTTGATGTTATTTCTTCATAGACAGAAAAAATATTACAGTCATTCCTTAAATAATCATAACAAAATTTAATTGAGTACTATCATAATGTTAATTATTTTGTACTGTTTCAGTATGGATTTATAAGTCTTTACTTATATTTTGTATAGTAATCTATTCATATAGTGGAATGGTAGAATTTAAAAATAGATTCATTTGATAAATAAAATGTCCGTCCGTAAATACTTGACGTTTGTGTTTATTGATACTACATGTATATATATTCAAAATTTTCGGAAAAAAATTATTAACAGGAACGTATGTTTATTATAAAATTTCAGTTCTATTTTTGTTTGTTTGTTTTAATAGTTTAACCTTATAACATCTACATATTTGTACTATGGTACAGTTTTGAAAATTGTATTCACTGTGTTGCCCAACTATCCTACACGTCTTGATTCATTCACATTATAGATCACATTTCAAACGCACACTATCGGTTTGCGTTCTCAAAAATTCCAATAATACTAATTTCACTCGTGAATGCGCATTTTCGTTTTTCTTATCTAAATTTAGGACACGGCTGTAAGAGATTGACATGTGACTTTCATGCACGGTCATCATTTCTTACGGTATTCTGACCTCTAGCTGTTTCTCTTTTGTTTCTTTTTTGAGTCACTGTCCTATAATAAACCTTGACCTTTTCGAAAAGCTAAGGATTGTCTACCCAAGGAATAGATTCCTTAACTTTGTAATTTATTTGGCCTTTTAACTTTTTTCATTCGAGTGTCACTGATGCATTTTTGTAGACTGGCATCTGGCGAACATCATTTTAATTCTGGTATCTTTTTATATCTACATACCTTTTTATATAAATTGGTTATTTTGAGGGTATGTACAGGTATTCATAAAATTTCTGAATTAAGATACTAGTATTCTTCGGCAAAACCAAGTGTCCCTGTAGAATATT